TAATGCAATTTTTACCGTGTTTATTTAGACATAGTATGGTTGCTCCTTTGAGCGACATGACACTTTTAATCCCCAACTCTCGTTGTCGCTGATTTACTGGTAGTCTCGAAACTTTACTCAAATACGAAAATAAGAAAAAAGTGGTAGTTTCCAAGCCTAACCACCTTTCAAACTTATTATTATTTCAAGTTGAAAATCTTATATTTACATACGATTGTGTGAACTTAAATGCCATCGTAACTTCTAGTAGGAAGGCCGAGTAGTGCTTCTTGAATCTTTCAAGGCCAGATCTTCGTCTGCCGTCCCGGTCAAGTCGAGACCTTGAGCGGCCCACCGATCGGCTTAGCGACATAATTTTCTTGTCTTTATAGCCGGTGCCCAGTGAACACTTTCTCCTTCGCCTCGAGTGTCGGCGCGCGGTGACCGATGAATTGGTCGCCTCGACAACCACAGCTAGCCGACCGGAGATCCTCTTCACCGGCCGACTGATTGACGACCGACTCTTGCCCCGGTCGGTGACGGCCGAACCACCGGACGGAGCATCAATCAAGCAGCTGCGAGTCACCCTTTTCCAGTTCGTGGAGACGGAATCATTGCTTCTCGAGGTGAGTCTTTCATCTCCGAGCACGACAATGCAACTCTTTTTCCACAGAGGAGAATGACAGATGGCCATATCCACCGGCGATTCCACACAATCGGGGGTTCTAATCTTTGCAGGACCAGTGCCTCTTTGAGCGTCCTGATTGGACGGGACCCTTTTCCACCGTCCTGCGTGGGGAATACACCACTTACGGAAATGCACTACTCAGAATTATATTACTCTCAAAAATGCTCCTTGTTCGGGTTCCTATGAGGCCAATTTGCGAATTCACCCATCCCAAGATGCATCAAGACCTCACAAGTCTCCAATGACACAAACTGATGTACTCTCAGCACTAAGCAACTCTCCTTCCAGGTCGTCCGATCTCGGGACGTAATAAGCTTGTCATCAGTTTGACCTCGTCTAGGCTCGCCCTGGATGAGTATAGCTTTTGGGTGCAATTCAATGGAAACATGAGACCTTTTTATTTTATTGTAGTCTTTGCATAATCTACAATAGCCTGGGCTGACTAAGGGCTTGGCCAAAAGTCACTGATATTACCGAAACCTACCAATATCGAAGTGAAGCA